GAAGGAAAGAAGGAAAGAAGGAAAGAAGGAAAGAAGGAAAGAAGGAAAGAAGGAAAGAAGGAAAGAAGGAAAGAAGGAAAGAAGGAAAGAAGGAAGGAAGCAAGCAAGCAACAGGCCTTAGGCAGGTCATTGCATCTTCACTCCACTTGTGAAAAACACAGGACATAGGACCTTGCCTGTGGAACAATACTGAGGGGGTTCAGGACTCCCTACCCCCAAGTAAAGCTCCGGTCTCCATCCTGTGCCCCATCTTCCTGGATAGACCAGCCATTCTGCAGATACAGAGGGCTGGCCGGGACTGCCCACTGAACCCTAATAGCATGAGGGGCAGGACAGCTGCAAGCTGAGCACCATGGTTTTGGGACGTGGGACAGGAACGCCAAGTCACATACAAGTCATCAGCCAATGCTTAGGATTCGCCCAGCGTCCTTCCCCTCCCACCACCAAAGAAACGAGATATGGCTGGTTTGGGAGTGAGTAAATCTCTGGACTCATTCCCACAAGGCCCTCCTTTCCCACTCAGCTTTGCGACTCCGTCACTCCACCTAAGTGCATCGGGGACCCATTACTGTGAGTGGCCCAGGGCTCACAAGATCACAAAATCTTTCACTGACTTTACTTTTTTAACAGTTAAAAAAAAAAAACAGTTGTTTTGATTCTTGATTTGTTTTCGCATATGCAAAAGTTTGGTTCTGAGTGAGTGAATATAAGAAATTAAAACTCCAGAAATTCTCAGTTCAGGGGATTAGAAATGTTTCACCACAATCTCTGCAGAACCTACCACAAGCACACCTTGAACACTATGTCCCAAGAGCTACAAATAAAAACTGCATTTAAACAAATTCCATTATATTGTAGGTATGAAAGTGATCAGTCTTTGGAGGATTCACTGAGAGCCCGGCTTTAGCTTTTAGCACTGAGTTCTAACCCTGATTCTGTGCACATCACTTGGGTTTATCACGTCCGCTAGGTGGACTTCGTGGTTCTCCTGGAAAGTAGGCGTGCCAGCACTTTCCCTGCAGCGGTAGGTGGAGATTTAATCAGGCTATACATACGTAAAAAAAAATAGCTAATATTACCTTAGTGCTCACTGCATACCAGCACTTTGCCTGAATTCACTCATGTAATCCTCTCAACCAGAAGTGGGTTTATTTCTTATTAATATTTTATTACTGTTTAGAAGCTAATAAATGTAAGCTTCAGGATCTCTCAACTTGTACAGCCCCTTAACAAGGGGTGATATCTGTGGTGTTTGGCAGCCTGTCAAAATGTGTCATTTGTGATTTATTTATTATCTTAAATAAATGCTCACTTTGGTGCCTTATTTTGTAGTCATAATTGGATACTTTTTCTTCAAGAGGGCCCTGGCAATTGTGTAAACTTTACTCCTCTTTCAAAACCTAGGTCACCCCTGCCAAGAAGGTAGGAGCTACTAACAACTTGCAGATGATGAAACTGAGACCCAGAGATGTTAAGTTACTTGCCCAAGCACACACAGCCAGTTAGTGATAGGATCCAGATTTGAACCCAGGCAGTTTGGCTCTGCTTGGAGTGCTCTTAACTGTACATTGCATTGCTCCTTATTATTTTTACAAAAAGCTACTAGCAAACTCTCTAGGACATTGTGAACACTCAATCATTGGTGGCTACTATTATTTTGGAAATTAAAAACTGCTTTTGTAATAATAGGAATCCAGCATCCTTATTTAAAGAAACTACATAAACTGGAACCTTACAAAACAGATAAATCCGTAGCAGGCTGATTTTATACAAGAGACTTTCTTTTTAATTTCCTCAAAGATTCATCATAAGATCTTCAAAATCCTTTTAATTAAGTAATCTCATCAACCCCCTCTAGAGATGGTTAGAGTCTCCGAGACAATAAATAACTCTCCAGTAAGTGCCGAGCCAGGATTTGGACCCAGGAAGTCTGGTTCCGGAGCCTGTGTCTTAAATCCCACATTACACACGCACATACACACACACACACACACACACACACACAGATACAGACAAATGTTTTTAACAGAGTAGGGATAAGAAGGTAATATTTCAGATTTTCATAGAACTTTGCATCTTGGAGTTTTTTCTGATTAAGTTATTTTCAAGGTGAATAAATAGCACCTTGGGTTGAAGACAGTGTGGAATCACTGGGCCAACCTCATGCTATTCCATGCAGCAAAGTTGAGAGTGTTAAGTCCAATTGCACTGGCAGATGCTGGAGCTTTAAGCCCTCGCCTTAGCCATGAACACCATCTTTGTTAGCTTCTTCCCACACCCTCTTCCCACACTCTCGTCCCTCCACCCCTCCCCCGAAGAAATTTCAGGATCTTTACCCTAAATTCCTTCCCTCAAGCACACCAGGGGCTCCAGCCGAGAGTGAGCACTGTCAGGGCTGACACGGGTCCCAGCCCATTAGCTGAATTAACTGTTCAATCCTCAAAACCAGATCATTTGCCACATTTTACAGAACTGGAAATTGAGGCACTGGTAACTTGCCCAGTGTCACTGAGCTGGTATGACAGAATCAGGACTCACACCCAGGCAACCTGGCACCAAGCCCATGCCCTTCACCATTTAAAATGTCTACTACTCAAGTGAGTGCCCACTGTATATGAGGTCTATACCGGGTCCTTTACACAAACTAGCAGCTGTGGAATCCTAACAAATATGCTCAAGAGGAGGTGTGACAAAATGGAAAGAAAGCACAGAAAGATTAAGCAGCTTGCCCAGACCACACAACTGCAAATGGCAGAGTGGAGACCAACCTTCCTTTCTGGTCCCAAAGCCTGCACTAACCCCACTCCACCACACAGCCTCCTGGTACTGACACTGGGGATTCCTCCTGACAAGCCTATAGTGAGAATGACCATTTCTTCCACTTTGCAGAAAGCACTCTCCTGGGCAGAGTCAAGATGAGAGTAACCATCTGATGCTTAAGCAGAGTCTGTCTTCCAGGTCTGCTTTTCAAACTAAGGTGCTGGGACATGGGAGAAAAAGTACGCCCACTTATCTAACCTCCTCCCATGTGAAAACATGCTTTAAACTAAACAATTTAAACATAATTTAACTGACATGCATGCAAACATTACCAGAAGATACAGATATGCACGGTCTACTTAAACTGGGACAAAGCCGTTTCTCCCTATAAGGTCTTTACATGGATGTTTGTGTTAACATATCATATTTTTCAAAAAGGCTTTTTTCTTCTCATCACTATCTTGACATTCCATACTTGCAGGTTTATCCACCTGTGGGGTTAAGCCATTTAAAATACAAACTCTGGCAGATGTTCATATTGACTAGGGTAGGTGAGTCCTGGGTTCTTGGTCCTCCACCCACCATCAGGCCGCCTTTAAACTGCTAACACATGACAAGGACTTGATGGGAAAGTCGGGTTCTCCCGGCTTGCAGATGGGAAAAGTGGAAGCTTCCGGGCGTTCGGTCCTTCTCCTAAATTGTACTTTGTCTCTGGAACAACAGTAGCTACACACTACCCCGTGGGCACGTCGTAAAGAGGGAACCTTGTCACTAACTTGGGGTTCCGGCTTAGAAACGAGCGACAACAGCAATTAGCAGAAATCCGCACAGGTAACAGGAGCTAAGAAGATTGAGTTTTGCAAGACTGAAGTCCCAGACACAACTCTGCAGTAAACTTCACCATCCATACTCGCCAATGGATGGGGAAGCTCCTGAACAGAAGGCTGGGGAAGGAGAGGAGGAGAGCCTCATGACAAGAGCTGGGGAACGACACCTCCCCTCCTCGCGCCCAGCACCGGGCCCAGGAAGCCTGTCCTCCAGCCACGCGCCGCAAGAGCGGTGGGAAGCGCCGCAGCCCGCGCCCGGGGCCCTGCACTTACGCGCTCCGAAGGGCCACCCCGGCTCCGCGCCTCTTCCGAGGACCCCGCGCAGAGCGGCAGCCCCAGGCACAGCCCCAGCAGCAGGAGCATGGCGAGCCGACCGACTGCCCTCGGCGGGACGCGCAGCGAACTGCGGGACTGCGGGCGCGCGGGGCACCTCCCCTCCCGGGCGCCCCGCCCCCTTCACCCCGGGCGCCCCGCCCCCGGGACCCTACCTCCACCGCGCCCACCCGCCCCCAGCCTACCCCCAGCCCTCCCTGCCCCTCCCGGGCCGCCGGCGCCCCTGCCCCACTAGCAGGCCCTGCAGCCTGCCTGGCTGCGCTCGTCGCCCACCCGCGGTCCCCTCCCGGCCGCCTTCGGCACAGCCTTCCTTTTCTTCAGTCGCCTTCTTTCCGGCTATCTTCCCCATCCAGCGCTTCAGACACCTGCCAGCCCCCACCCCCAAATCTTTCCTCCTCTCATGTAAGGTGTGCAGCCCCTCATGGACTCACTTAATTCTTGTCGCAGGAAAACTCGCGAATAGCCTGCTTGACTCTCAATGCACAGCCCACCCCTCATGTGCTATATATACCACCCCCCTCACGTGCTATATATACCACCCACTCACCTGCTATATATACTACCACCCTCACCTGTTATATATACCACCCCCTTCACCTGCTATATATACCACCACCCTCATCTGCTATATTTGGCAACCCCCCACCTATGTATACCAACACACATACCCTAACCAGCTATATATACCAGCCCCCTGCTATATACACACCTCTCATCATCTGCTGTGTATACTACCGCCCCACCTGCTGTATATAGGACACCCCGCTACCTGCTATCCTTAGACCAATAGGAGACCTTCCCTCTGCCAGGAGAGCAGTACATTCCTCTTGGCATCCAGCACTGAGGCTCAGAAGGAATGCTAATTCGTAGTATGCACAGAAAGTACTAGCAATGTTGTCACCTTTTATGTGGTTCTGTCATAAGGGGACAGAAAGGAGGAAGCTAGAATTGGCACCATGTAGTAGTATTTCTAAGTTTTTGGTTGTTAATCATGAAAATGAATATCATTGCATATCTTAGTTACAAACTATTGGTGATATTTCTGTCCTACCATAGAAAGAATTGTTATATGCCACCCATCCTCATGCAGCAGTTTATAGTCTGGGTCCGGCCTTTCTATCTGGTAGATACACAGTGCAGCTGGAGCTGCTGGTTCATTTCCTCTGGCTCTGTAACAACTGCATTGAAATCTATGAACTGAGAAGCTGACAACCACCTTAGGGGTGGAGAAGAGGGAAATGGCTAACTCACAGAGAAGAACAGCCATCCTGTGGAATTCTATGCAACTATTAAATAATAGTCAGGAGGTCTATGGGAACATGAAAAATGTTCACAATGTAATCAAAAGTAAAAAATCAAATCACATTTCTGTATCAACAGTATGACTGTAATTAGGTAAAAATACATGTGTGTGGACATAAGAACAAGGAAAAACATGAAAAATGAAAACAGAGAATGTGTTTGTGGTGATCCCTTTTCTTAAAATATTTTATTTTCTTTGTTTACCTGCTGTTTGTTCAACAGAGAAATGCTGTTTGTTCAACAACAAAAAACAAAAAACATGTAGCTACTATGAAATAAATTTTAAGAATCATTAGCAGTTAATTGTTTAATAGTCTACCGCTGATTAATTTAAAATCCACAACACACAACCAACAAGAAATAATAGTAGCTGGTCCAGCAAGGTTTTTACAACAAACCCACTGGTACAGGAGAGCCTTGAAGCAAGTGAAAGGATGTTTATGTTTAGCTCTTTAAGACAATGTAAACATGAGTTTACAAATGTATCCCCATGCCCCAATGCTGGCTTAGAACATTGGCAGCATACAAATCATGCGCACACCCGCTCATTTTTAACACAGATAGTCCCAAATCTTCCAGAATCAGGGATTTACCTATTATCCTCCAAAAGGAAAAATACATGTGTACTCAAAGTTGAATTTGGACAAAGCCAGGTTATTTGAAAAAGGACAGAAACAGCTACTATTATTTCAATCCTCTAACAGACCAGAACCACATCTTTGTCTTCCCCATCCTACCATCCCTCTCTCCTACCCAACTCTGTTTTGGGCCTTATATCTGCTCTTTTTCGGTATTTGTCCCAACAGGATTCTGCAGAGGACCAAAATGAAGAAAAATGCATTTTATTTTCTTCATCTTGTAAGACTCCCCAGTTTTTCTGTGATATTTGTTTAAGGCCAGTTTGACCAACTGGATTCAAGGTTCCTCCAGAACAAGCATTTTCCACAACTTCCAGCACTGTACTAAGTAAATGGTTAGAATTTAATGAACAATTGATGAATGGAATTAGGACATGGGAGGCCTGGGGTGGGGACCTGAGCTGGCTGTGCTGGGGAAGAAGAGGGCTGGGCTGTGGTCCCAACTTGGCAACTGTCTAGCAACATGTATGTGGACATTTTCTGAACTTTCTACTACTTGCAAACTGTAATAGCCTAGGCTTCTTTGTGACATCTAAGCATCTGTATGACAGGATAGGGATGCCCTTTAAAAACTAAGTAGGTGGGGTGAAAAAGATGATGGCATGAGAAGTGCGGCATAAACCCTCTCCCAAAACCACATATAACACAAAAATAGAGCAAATACAACTAATCTTGAAAGAGCAACCCAAAGACTGCAGAACAGACTGCCTACATCTGGGGAAGAGAGAAAACCTCACAGAAAAGAGTAAAGTAGCAAAGCCACAGTCTGGCAGGACCCAAGCCCTCCTCCTACCTCAGCTCACAGGCAGAAGGAAGAGAAACAGCAGGGAGAGAGTAGAAGCCCAGGACTGCTAAACACCCAGTCCTGGAGATCTACTGCAGGAGCACAAGCCCTCATTACATGGTGCTCTGGAGATTAGCTGGGTTGGAAAGCAAAGACAGGCAGCATACTCACAGAAACTGAGATTCCAGCTGCTTGTGGAGAATAGGTACCCACAAAAGGCCATTCTGGAACAAAAGAAAACTGGGCACTTTGAAAGACTTCCCAACAGCAAGAGGGCTGCTAAAGGGGCAAAGATTACACAGAGCTTGCTGCTCAGGAGAAGGGACAGGTAGGCAAAATCATCCTGGCACACTCAGTCCAGCAGGTTGGGAACTTTCAAGAGTTTCAGATGCTCCATCCCCCTGGCTGGCAACACAGTGCAGAGTCCCCCCACCCCCCACTGTGATATGCAGCCTGCCACTCCTTCCTGCCAGCTGGCACCTGCTTGCAAACCCGCTGCCCCAACCAGTGTGCCAGGCCAGCCAGAGGATGGCCCCACCTATAACAGCTACAGGGGAGTAAGGCAGAGGCTCCTGCCTGAGTATTACTAGTGCTCACCCACTAGACTTGGCAGTGGAGGCAGACACTGCAGCCAAGAAGCAGGAAAGAGCTCTTTCCTCCTTGCAGGTGCCAGTGCTGCTTGCCTGCGACCCCCTACATTGCTCCAGGTGCTAAGCCACACCAGAGACTAGAGCTTCTGGGCACTAGAGGGAGCCACCTACACAAAGTTCTTATTCCATATGAATCATTAGAAATGAAAGAGGAAAAAATTTTAAACAAACAAGAATACAACACCAGAAAGAGGGCTCAGTGAAACTGAACTCACCAATCTTCTTCATAGATTTCAAAATAAAAATCATAAACATGCTCACAGAGCTACAGAAAAATATTCAAGATCTCAGGGAGGATTTCATGAAAGAGACAAACTTTGAAAAATACAGTATCTGAAATGAAACATACAATGGAGGGATTTAAAAGTAGATTAGGTGAAGTAGAGGAGCCAGTAAACGAAATAGAAATTAGAGAACAGGAAAACAAAGAACCTGAGGCACAGGAAGAAAAAAGGATCTCTAGGGATGAAAGAAAAATAAGAGAACTTATTATTGTGTGACCAGTCCAAATGGAACAATATTCGCATTACAGAGTACCAGAAGAGAGAGAGAAAGGGATAGAAAGTCTCTACAAGGAAATAATGGCTGAAAATTTCCCCAACCTGGGGAAGGAAATAGTCTCTTAGGTCATGGAATGCAGCGATCTTCCTATACAAGTGACCCAAGAAAGACAACACCAAGACATATAATAATTACAATAGCAAAGATCAAGGATAAGGACAGACTATTAGAAGCAGTCAGAGAGAGAGAAAAGATCACATACAAAGGAAAACACATCAGGCTATCATCAGACTTCTCAAGAGAAACCTAACAGGCCAGAAGGGAGTGGTATGATATATTTAATGTCACGAAACAGAAAGGCCTCCAACCAAGAATACTGTACCAGGCAAGATTATCATTTAAATTTGAAGCAGGGATTAAACAATTTCCTGTTTTGCTTAAACAGATAAGCAAAAGTTGAGGGAATTTACCTATCACAAACCATCTCTATAGTGTATTTTAAAGGGGCTGCTATAGATGGAAGTTCTTCTAAGGCTAAATAGCTGTCACCAAAGAAAATAAAATCACAGCAAAGAAAGTAGACCAATTAATTTTTAAGTAAATGTAAAATTAAATTAACAACCCACAAAGTCAATCAAGGGAAACAGAAAGAGTACAGAACATGACACCTAACATATAAAGAGTGGAGAGGAAGAAAAGAAAGGGAGAAAGAAAATAACTTTTAGATTGTGTTTCTAATAATATACTGAATTAAGTTAGACTGTTAGATAGGAAAGAAGCTTCCCTTGAACCTTTGGTAACCATGAATCTAAAGCCTGCAATGTCAATAAGTACATATCTAT